GCTATCATTTCCCTTGTAGGAGGTAGACGGCAAGCTGTAAGCTCCTCTATATACTTGACAAGCTCGTCCTCCTGTTGTGGAGTGAGCTTTTGTTGTGCAATCGCCTTCTCTTCACGCGATCGCATCTCGTGTCGATATTTTCAAGACAGGGTTGAGCACACAACCTTATGTTTTTTAGCCAGCGCTGTCCACGGGATCTTATCACATGGTATCATAGAGTCTATCTCTTCAAAGGCAGATTTCATAGTCATTGTGGTGTTGAGTAATTGTACAGTGAAGTATGGGTACAAAAAGGTGGTTCGGCGCATTACGCGAATCCACGCATTACGCGCACGGACACAGTACCCCGCTACCGCTTTCCTGCTTCCGCTGCACGACGGCAACAGATGTAAGCGTGCTTCCGCAGTACGACGACAATTGATGTAACCGTGCTATCGCGATTCGTACGAGCTCCAAGGTAACGTGCACCATGAACTAAGTACTGCTGATCGTCATCTAGTGCGGGTAGGACTTAGTGCTTGCGATTCGCAGCGCCAATGCGTGAGGTCAGGAACAATGCGTTTCGGTCTATTGCATGAGAGACTTTTGGATATAACCAGGCTTCTATGTGTAACTAACCTCATATCTCCTATCTACTGAATTGGATTTTGTTGCATCCCTGATCATTCATCCTCTTTACTCTCAAGTGTAGCGGCGTGGGCCGCTGTGGTATACTGATAGCTACGGTATAAGATAATGTAGGACTATCGGGTCGATGGAATACTGCGCTGAGTTGCCATCTAGCTAGGAGGCGAGGATATATACATGTCTTGAAACGTGCTAACTTTGAACCGTTACAGACGTGTGGGTCAGGGCTTATATATGACTGATACCGCAACAAGTGTTGACATCCACAACATCAAGCAATTCGTTCACACGTCTCTATCAAAGGGTTAGCGCTTCTAGTGTTAGCTCCACCAACAGTAGCAACCGAAAGACTTGTTGGAGTTCCGACATTGCCGTACCAGTACACGGAATCAAATAGCTTCGACCTTTCTAAGCTCACTGGGGTTATTGTGGACAAACTGGAGCGACTAACAACGACGGTGCTACACTCATTCCACCCAGTCTGCTGGATTATGGTTTCACCTTTGCTGCTGACTTAACAGAAGCAGCGGGCAGGAAGATTCCCATTTCCGAAGCGTCTCAAGGATCTCCTAGTGAAGTGTTTCTGACACTGAGTAGTCCGAAGGCTTTCCACGATGCAGCGGGTCGTCCGACATCAGAAGGCTATACGTTGCATGTTAACACACACACTATTACGATAGTTGGAGCAAGCCCACTTGGAATATGGTGGGAACAAGGTCTATCCTTCAGCAGCTTGCGCTGCGTCACAACTTCCCTGCTGGATCATACACAGATGCCCCAGGATGGAAGACGCGCGGTATCTTGGTGCGTTTCCCACTCCATTCGCTCGATATACTATTGATACCACATCATCTCGCTGATTCTTTTTAGTTGGATGCCGGTCGACACTACCACCCTCCGCAATTTCTGATCGAGACCTGTGCGTACCTGTCATTCTTCAAGCAGAACATGCTTCATCTGCACCTGAGCGATAACATGCTCAATCTTTCCCCTCCAACCTCGAAGTCACAACTCTATGATAGCTATGCTGCTTTTCGGCTAAGCTCAAACGATCCTCAGCTCGCGGGTCTAGCAAAGCCATCGAACGAGACCTATACAAAAGACCAGTTCGACCTCATACAACGCCGCTGTGCTGCTCGTGGCGTCACTATCATACTAGAACTTGAGGCTTCAGCACATGCGCTTCCAATCGTGCAATAGAAGCCTCAATTAGGTCTTGCAGAGGATTTGACTAAGCTTAATATTTCGCATCCTGAGACAATACCTACAATGGGGTTGATTTCCTTGGTTCCACTCTAAGGTCGTACATATCGGAGCTGACGAGTATTCGAGTTCTTCCTTCACTGATAGGTACAGAACTCATTGCATGTATAGACAACACCTTTGCTAAGCCATCGCTACAGTCAAGTCGTCTCGGACTACACACGTCTTGTTAATGAGCTATCCTTGATGATCAAGAGGCTCTCGGGCAAATCTGTCCGTCTCTGGGGTACCTTTCCACCTTCTCGCGGCGCTGTTATCGATAAATCCATTTCCATCCAACATTGGACCTTCAACGAGACCAATCCCATGTTCGACTTGATTGCGAACGGGTACCAGGTTCTTAACTCAGATGAAATGTTCTATTTAGTCGGCAAAATACAAGTCGTTTATGGCATCACGGTAAACCTAACACGGGTGTTCCATGGCTTGCCGTCCGGCAAGCCATGGGCACCTAATATCTCGACGCAAGGAACGCTTCCAATAACACTCCAAGGGACAACAGTGCACTCTTGGGACGTATAGCCGCACTTTGGAACGACTTTGGTCCCAACGCGACTACCTACTCTGAAGCTTATTATACCTTACGAGACGGACTTCCGACACTGGCGGACAAACAATGGGGTGGGTCTCTTTTGCAAAATGAATACGAGTCCGTCTTGCCCATCCTACCAGCAAACATTCCAGGCCAGAACCTTGATAGAAAGATCGCATCTGTTACTTGCGAGTTCTCCAACTTTAACTTCACCTACGCGCAAGCTCTCGGCCCTCAAAAGAACGAATGGACGACCATCAAGGACAAGTCTGGAAACACTTACGACGCCATTACAAATTGTCGACTGAACGATGCATTAGTGCTCGAGCGAGGTTGCGTATTAGATACGCCTCTCTGTTCCAAGGGTCGAAATTTTACTCTGACATTCGCCGTCAAGATGTCCTCTATCGCGGGGTGGCTGGTTTTCACCGGTGCAGATAGCCATTCGCGCCTTGAAAAAGACAAAACTACGCTTGTTTCAGGCGGGAACGAATATTTTGTGAACTACAGCTTCTCCGTTGGAGTTTGGACACAGGCGAGCTTGATAAGAGCAGGTGAGCGGACACTGTTGAAGGTGGATAACGGATCGACGTACGAGTTTTTGGCCGATGTTGGTCTGTATGGGGTACAGAAAAGAACAGCACCTATAGCCATTGAGGCACCCTTGGCATGTATTGGAGGTGGGAGTGGTAGTGGACAAATACACAGTCTAGTACTCAATACCAACATCGCGTAGTCGGTCGCATGCACTACAATCTCCGTATCACGTAGGTTCTGAAATCTGGTCAGTGCTTCCGGCTCTTTACTTGTGTAGCGAACCATGTGTCGTTGTTGTTCACCAGCTATCGTGGCGCCATAGATTGCACACGATGGTCCATAAGGACCCATCGTCGTGTACTATATACTGGGGTGACAGTTAAGGTAGCGACTATCTAAACTATCGCTGGTCGCGCTAGGGACTATTATGCTAAGTAGTAGCTCTTAGCAGGACTACCGCCTAGGGATAATAATTTCTTGGCGGACTATTAGTCACGTAACGTGGTTGTCTGATAGGCCAGCGCTTGCTGTCGTGTAGCTTTGCACTCTCAACAAATAAAAAGGTCTAGTAGCTAGCGCTGTAGAGACAGGTTGTAACACCTTCTTGCACTCTGTACAATTACTCTGTTAGCGTTACGCTGGCAAAAAGGTCTAGGGTACCTTAGGCCTGGGTCGTGGTCGGGGCGGGGTCGCACAGGTAACAGGTCGTGGTTAGGTTAGGTTTGCTCTAGCGTGGGTTATGGTTAGGTCAGGGTTACGAGTTGTGGTTAGGTCTGTGGGGCACCTGGGTCGCCAAGTCGGGTTAATTATCACAGCTTATCATTGCACGTCTAATTGGCTAGAGGCAACCTAACTACAACCTGTGGCCAAGCAACTCTAACCTAACCACAACCCACTTGGCAGGCTCTTAGTGCGGGTTGTGGTTGGGTTGGGGTTAGGTAGTCACGTGACACGACCCAACCCCGACCCAACCACGACCTTTCTGCCAGCTTAGTTAGCGTAAGCCCTTACAAGGGTGTTCCTCATGTCTTGTAATACCTATCCGCTCAAGTTCCCTATATGGAGATAGGTGGTCTAAGGGCTAGATTTACTGTAATAGGAAGCTTAACCCCTAGGACCTATTAGTCTACTGCATGCCCCCAGTAGCTGCGCCTTGCTAGCCTAATCTAGGGGGATCTATGCGAGGCCGGCAGCGTTAAAGGTAGGCTCGTTACAGTTGATTAGTATTATATCTAACGGTTGAATTTAGCCGCTAGTTTGTGTCACCGGACAGGCCCCTTAGATACGATCGGCATAAGTCTGCCCGAATATCAGGGACTAAAAATCACCAGCATAGTTCGCTATGAGCTACACCGACGGGAGCATTTGAGTAATACTTAAATGTCCCAAAGTATTCAACGTATATCCGAAACTTGATCCGGGAGGTCATCCATACCGTCTCACTTCTATTCTGTTCAAGATTTTCCATTCGCATGCTTCTTTCGGGCGGCAAAGCAGAGCACACCCATCTCGTAATCGAGAATCGTCATGTCAGCCTCGTTCACCAACCCAGTGGTATGGGAAGACCTACCGGATATGGAGGTTATTCGTGTCGACAGTGTCTACTACATGAGCGCGTCTTCCTTCCATTTTTCACCTGGGGCGCCCATTCTCAGATCTTACAACCTCGTCGATTGGAAATATGTTGGTCACTCGATCCCGACACTGCCACCCACTGAACAATTCTCCCTCAATGAACGACGACCTATGGCGTACGGGAAGGGCGTATGGGCATCAACCATGAAGTATCGCAAGAGCAATGGGCTTTTTTATTTCTATAGTGCCATTCAAGGCACGAATAGTACGTATATCTGGACGGCTGCATCTCCCTCGGACGTGTGGACTGCCCATTCGCCAATTCAGAGATTCTATTACGACCTTGGGCTCTTAATCGATGATGACGATACTATGTACATTGCCCACGGAACTAGGACGATCCAGGTCGCACAGCTTTCCCCGGATGGACTAGCGGAGGTCATCAGTAAAGTAAGTGCTAGCTAATACGGTCTTTAGCTTATACCGATCAGTGCTGACATTTCTCATAGGTTGTGTATTCCTCAGACGACTATCTTGAAGGAGCCCGCATGTACAGGATACAAGGCGCGTACTATATCTGGCTCACCAAATCCTGGGACACACAAGTCGTGCTGAAATCAACGGGTGGTCCTTTTGGGCCCTATGAAGCACGGGTTGTCATTGCAGAGATGCGTTCGCCACTTCCAGGCGCTGGGCCTCCACACCAGGGGGCGCTTGTTGATACTCCAGACAATCGGTGGTACTACATGTCATTCACTGATGCCTTCCCAACGGGACGTGTTCCCTTGCTGGCTCCTGTAGTCTTTGACACAGAAGGTTGGCCGGTCGTAACGGGAGAGTACACAGACTCTAAGGGATCATGGCTTCTCGAATATCCACAGTTGGCCCCCGGGTCCGAGACCTCTTCCACACAAGTATCGCGCCCCACGAGACACAACTTCAGTCAGGATACACTGGACCCTTGTTGGGAGTGGAATCACAATCCTGATGACTCGAAATGGGAACTCAAAGATGGTCAGTTGATATTGGAGACAGGATCAGTGACTCAGTATCTGCATTGCGCTACTAATACACTTACACTCCGCACAATCGGGCCGGGCAGTATATGTACCTTCCTAGTCGATGTCTCTATGCTGAAGGATGGAGACAGGGCTGGGATATCTATGTTCCGCGATGAGAGTGCTTACATTGGCGTTCATATCGATGGAGACAAACCTCGCATTGCATATGTTGAGGGCATTAAGGTTGGCCCCACTGACAAGGCCATTGGCTGGTTCAATGGCCGTCCTGCTGCTCTGGACTGGGAGTGTAAGTCTGCTGGGTCAGTGGAAGCAGAAACACCACTAGCAAGCAGCCGCTTGTGGTTACGCATAGTCGCGGACTTGAGAGCCGCATGGGTGGCTGGATACGAAAACGTGACCAGGAAGGCCACGTTTCATTACAGCTTTGATGGGGTAACATTCATGCCGCTGGGTCCAGAATATGCATTGAGTCGGTCTACAGCAGGCTTTGTAGGATACCGTTTTGCACTATTCAATTTCGCAACAAAAGCTCTTGGTGGAAAAGTCAAGGTGCAACACTGTGACATGGAGGTTTGGAATCCTAGCATGTAAAGATCTTAGGTTAGAAGAGCCTTTATGGAAGAAGCTCAACTACTATCATAAACATGCTATACAATATTGAAAATAAAAAGCTAAAGATAAGATTTTAAAATAGCTGTTAAGACCCTTTCATCGATACCAGTCTTGATGGCTCGGAGAGCTTTCCAAATAGTACAGACATACGAGGTAGCTTAGGTTGGTTTTCGGGTGCGTGATGCCGGAGGAGTATAACTTGAAGCACGGGTAGTCACACAGTAGACTGGTCTTGCTCCGATACTAGGGAAATAGGATACTAGGTTGAACATGATGGTCTGTAGGAGCCCATCATGGATAGCTATATACGGTAGAGGCTCGAATCGCTCGAGTCGAGCCAGTCGAGATGATCACGTGACCCGTGTAGCACATTGGGAAACGGGCAACCTCGTGGACCCGTGCCGCACCAATTACCTTAATTACATTTGGACCAGTCATAAGGAGTGAACTGGCCTCCTGTGAGACATGGTCGTGACATTAACCTAGGACAAGGGTGCGCTCTTATACGGTGGGGCATTCGACTGTTCAGGGGTGCGCGATGTCGCATATCAGAAAGCCATGCTGCATCGGGTCCTAAGTTAGGCTTAAGGTTCACCACGTGCAGCGTGTCCCAATAGTGCCGATAGCTCGCAGCCTGAGTCTTCGCGTGCGATTCCGCGCGTCCACTCTTTACATCTTCCGCCGCGTGCTAACTCTTCCTGGCATCATGCTGTAATCACAGTTTGCATGTGAATGTGTTGCAGTAAATGCAATAAGTGAAGGTGTAACCGCGCAGGGCAGTAAGTCAGGGGTAACCGCGCAAAGCAGTAAAATCAGTATATCTTGTTGTTCTTCTTCAGTGTTCTGTCTCTTTCACCGGCCATCAGGGTCTGTTTACATGACGTATCCGTCGTTCAGACAGAAAGTGCTGTTGAAATAGGCAAGAGCACTGCACCAGCACACGTGGCAGACATGACCTCTTCGCTCCATAAACCGTCACAGAATGAGACGAGAGACTCTAACGCCAGACCACTCCAAACACTAACTAACTACATCAAGTCTATGCGTGGCGCTGCACGCTGCACGCAGTTGCAGCGCAGTGGCTTCCAGTCGATAGGTAGAATTGTGCATTCAAAGGAACGACTTGCGCCCCAGGATACCACGCTCTGCACCTAAATTACGCATCGCCCGAACGGAAAAACATATGGCAACGTCCGCATAGAACAGTTGTTCTTATGAATGCTATCCGACATGGGTTGAGTGCCCGCCTTCTCAGGCTACACTGACGTACAGCCGTCCCAGATTGCTAGCCCGGCCATACAACGACTCCCCATCTCCCTCCCTCTGACTCGTAGCTCGCACTACTACAACATACTCCCCAGCCTCTTCGTATGTAAATTGCATTTTCATAGTGACAGTCTCAGCCGGCTCGGCCACTTCCTTGAGCACAAAGTCGCCCGTGCTATAGAAATCCCACTCCACAGCAACGATCTTGCCTGTACCAGGTGGTGCTACCGCGACTGCTATAAGAACCACATCTTGTCTTACGGAACCCGAACCATCGCTCGATATGGAAACATGTACCGTAGGCTGAATGCCTCCCCGCTCGACCGCAACATCTGGTATCTTAATACTATTGTCCTCCCTCAATGTGTAGTTGGAATTAGGGGCAGGAGCGACACCCTGTTCAACCCAGTCACTTAGGTCTCTCAGCGAGTGCTCATAGATGCCTGTATAATCGACTAGTAGATTTTGGTCGGCCTTTAGCGGTGGGCCTTCGTCGTGCGCGGCGTGGTCATTGTACCACAACCTGTAACTGTCGGTGAAGTCCCCTCCCAAGCTCTGCTCAACTTGCAGGCGGTACCAGTGCGCCCACCATGGCAGCGCATCGATGTCCATAAGATTTTGTAGTACTATCAGCTTGGCCTTGATGCTGCCAGAGAGGTTGGCATTTCCTGCCGAGCTTGCCGCGAGGATGGGTGCCGCGATTAGAGGGCGCTGTGGGTAAACTGACGAGCCGTCAGCGGTGCGGAACTGATCATAGCCAATGTAACCACGGTCTTCGGAAAGAGGGGGAACTTGATATCTATACCATGCGTGCATAGCAATCCATTCTCGGTTTGACAATCGAAGCGTGGCATTTGGTGTAATGAACGGGTAAGAAGAAGCGTTGTTGTTAGAGGATTCAATACCTCCGAAGCTTGCAACAGAAGTGGTGGAGTTGAAGCGGCCGAGAAGGGTTCCTATCATACTTTCATTGGAGAAAACGGTGAAGTTGTAGCCAAGGCCATCCCAGTCAAGTTCGAATGCCTTGGCGTTGGTGAGTTTTCCCAGGTGAACGGCGATGGGCACACCTTCACTGTCTCGCTCGACGTCCAGGACCGTAGTGTTGACGTCAACGAAAGCAGCCCGAAAAAGATCACCCAAAGGACTCTGCTCCAACCCTAGATACCCATCCTTAGTCCAGAAGTTCTCAACGTAAGTTGGATCAAGACCAGTGAATGCTGATATCAGCTGCGCAAGCCTCGTACGGTTAGAAGCTGCATAAAAGTCTTCAAGGACGGCGATCGGCGCTCCTAGAAGAACAAGCTCATGCAGGATGGCTCGCTGGACTTGATTTAGACTTGCGTAGGGATCACCGTTTCCCCCAGGCCTAAGCGCAGCCTCGATCTCCTCGCTCTTGTTTTGCAGGACTAGACCCATCATCGCACGGAGCGAATGCGATATTCCCACGGATGCTGTAATAGCTTGCACCATTGCAATGCCACCATCCCACACGCCAAACGTATTTTCTATCGCACCAACGACTTGTAACGAGCCTCCGCTTGCACCGTAGATGTAGCCGAATATTCGTCGATCTGTGCTATTGGAAAAACCATAGTATTGCGATGCTACCGTCCTGGAAAATTTTGCCGCTGCGGCTTCAGCACGGTACCCATGCACGCCGGTAACTTGAACGACATATCTTCAATGAATTCAGCATATCATCGCAACCGGTATCTATGGCAGAGTTTACATACGCGTTACCATTAAGTGCGTTCCCAATGGTCCGGTCGCTGGCACTATCGTCTTGGGTCGGATACGCGGACTGGAAGAATCGACCATCCCATGCATTTTCTGGTGAGGAGTCGTTGAGCGGAAAGTAGAAGTTGAATCGCACAGTCGTGTTATCAAAGTAGCCTGAGACCTTGTGATGTGGAACTGGAGTTGTTTCGTCGGCCCTTCCGTCAACAATGGGGGACCCGTATTCCGGGTCCACACAGTCCAATGTGATCTGAAGTGCACTTTCAGGTCCATCTATGGGCTGACATTCCGGCAGTGAGGGACTTTGGGCATAGACAAAGTCAAACAGCCCGTTTCCTGCATAAAGAAAAACAGACCAGTTCTTGAAGAGCATCGCGAGAAAGTCTGGTATCGACAAAAATCTTAAGGCCTTGTAGCTCGATCTTGATGTCAATAGTGGCCTACTACGAACCGGCTAGTTGAGGTTCTCCGGTTTTGACATTCCCCAACCCCACAGCCCAAGAGTGTCAGGTACTTCGGGGTATGACCCACCGAAACCGTGAATTAGGCAATGTTTCGTACTCGTATACGCAAGGCTAGTCATACTGTCCCGGTGCTTGTTATCAATTCACCCTCCTTCAATCCTTCTCGGTACAGCTTCTCAAGTCGGTCGTGGAATACAGGGGAGACGGGCTGGTGGGTAGTGCTAAGATCATGCACCTTTCAATTGTGCGTCAGCGTGGTGTGGCCGTATTTCTTAGCCTGATCCTAGCGATGTCACATTCCTCAGAGCGAAAGTCGGCGATTACCTTCATTCCGCGTGTGTAATGGTAATGTAGGACCGCATTGTGTGATATTTGGGGGCGACATGCACGAACGCTTCGGTAGATCACGGCAGACTTGTGGCAATTCACTTGATGAAGAATTTGATGCATTACGACGGTCATATCTATATTTGACAACAGCGGGCGAACGATCGTCCCAAAATTGAGATCTATTCAGGAATATACGCCTTGTTCCTCAAGAGTTCCACAAGCTGGTCATGTGCGACACAGCCATCAAACGACCAGCTCGCTGCCAATTCCTCAAGCTCGTCCCGCGTCTTTTCCCGAAAAAGTTCCGCAAACTCATTGGTGAACGAGGAGGCCAAAAATGTCTGGATGACATTCCGGAAAATGTGCTGTTTTGTCGACCAGTGAAGCGGATATGTCTTCGTCGCCGTGGGAGAGACCGAGTCAATCCACTTCACGAGAGGATTGATGAGATTTTCAATCTCCGCGGCTTCCGATGCACCGGTCCAGTCGACTTGGGTTCGACGCTTCCTTTCCAGGAAGGGTGCAATCAGCTGCTGGTACGCCGAGTTCGGAGCTGGATGCATCAGGCCCATAAGCGCCACGTCTTTGTAAGACCACATTGACCATGGAATTCCAGCTTTTTCGTAGTTGCGCAACTGTTGAAGCATCAACATCTGGCGACAATCGTTAACAGCATCAGGATTTTCGTCATTCGGCGTCGCCCATGTCACGCCGAATTCTCCATTCCATATTGGTAGGCTGTGGTGATGTTGGTACTGGCATTTTCGCTCGAGCTGCTGATCCAATTTTTGCTTTTGCTGAGGGGTGCCACGGTAGGTTTCACCAATCGAGAAGGCCATCATGCTGTAGTCGTGGATGGAGTAGATAGTATTGGGAAGAATGCCGTGGAACGCATTGAACTCCATGCCATAGGTATTGCCGTCAATAAAAAGCATATGCTGTGGATCAACCGCTCGAATAGATTTTTCGAGACGGGTGTAGAGATTGGCCACGCGAGTTCCTTCTGAATCCGCAGGCTCGTTGAGCAAATTGTAGCCTGCTATCCATGGGTTGTCTTTGTATCTATGAGCAATCTGTTCCCATAGCCACACGACTCGGTCCTGGTGGTCTTTGTACTCCCAGAGTGCAGCGTGGCTTGTATTGTTATCGCAGTGTTGGTCCTGATTCTGGCCGCCCGGTGATGTGTGCATGTCAAGGACGGTGTAGATCTGGTTTTCGGAGCACAACCTGATGACACGGTCCAGATGCTTAAAGCCAGTCTCCTTTAAGACCCGGGGATTCATATCGTCTTCGAAATGTCGATGATTGAAGGGAAGTCGAAGACAATTGAGTTTGAGAGACTTCAAAAATGTGACGTCCTTCTCGGTGAAGAAGTGATAAAGCCACCGATCAAAGAAGAAGTCGTAATCGTCTCTGCCCATGACCTTCAACATGGCGGCTCGAACCCCAGATTCATTTCCTGAGTAACCGACCAAGAAGTTCTCCATGCTTGTTACCATTGTCAGCCTGCATCAACAGAGCGCAAACGCCTGGCACCACGTACTTGAGCCATCCTCCGAGAGCCGTGCCACGAAGGTTGACAGACTCGTCGTCGCTGTCGACGATCTGCGTCCCTTTTACGCGAAGAAATCCTTTGCTCATGTCGAATAGCAGAATTTTTGTACAATCGGGAGATGGACGTTTAGAATTGAGTAACAAGAGCCACCTTCAGCAGCGGATTTTGGCTGCAATTACTTCAACAAAACCAGACATTGGTTCGGATCCAATAAGCATGTTAGAAGCTGTCTTCGGTACAATGCAGACCGAGCTTGCCAATATTCTGGTTCTCGTGGCTTGATGGAGATGTATTTCCGAGGTGTGGTTTGTAAGTATGGCTTGGAATATTGGCTGCCGGCGTTAGCACGGCGGGGTTTCTGACGGGCTATACGCGTATTCTACGAATACGACATGATACGCTTCCGGACTCGGGCCTCGTGCATACCTTAGCAGGCAGAATTCACGACCAAAGACCTATTCGCACGTCTTTAGCCTAAATCCGAGTCGCAGGGACATGCGTCTCATCGATTCCTATCCCGGTACGACCTGGAGAGCTGCGCAAGACTACCCACTTCCCCGCAACTGTCCAGCCCGATCGTATGGGGTAGTCTGGGGATTAGGCCGACGTGACGGGCTCACCACCCGCACCTGGTCCTTCGAGTCATGCGTCTCTCGCCAGATATTTTCCTGTGCATGCGGGCACGACAACACCAAGATCCCGGTTCCCATCCCTGCTTACGCCAGTCTTTCCCTCAGCATAGATGGCATAAATTACACCATGTCTCCACTGCTCTGCAACAACTATCAAATTCCTCTTGTTCCAACCTGGGTTCACTTCCTATCGCTCGTGGTTAAGAGGCTTAGCTAACGAAGAAAACCACACCTCTCCTGCTATCATGGTGGAAGCATTGCATTCAGATGAGGTGCACGAGGTGATTGCAAAATCGCCGCCATGGTACAAGAACGGGAACCTAGTCAAGCTCTACCTCCTCCTTACTGCGCCGCTCTTGACATCTACCGCCTGGGGCTTCGATCTTAGCTTGACGAGCGGTCTTCAGGCTGTTGATCAATTCATGGACAACTTCGGCAATCCCACTGGCTCTAAGCTCGGTTTCTTCGGCGCATCAATGTCCGTGGGAGGTCTGGTGGCATGTATCCTGGGCGGTACGCTTGCTGATCGATTTGGTCGCCGAGGTGTTTGCTTTGTCGGTGCTGCTCTCGTGCTTGGCATGGCGTTGATGCAGACCTTCTCTACCAATTTCGACATGTTCGTGGGCAGCAAGATGATCATTGGCTTTGGTGGCAATCTGCAGCAACTCGGTGGGCCTGTTCTTGTTTCCGAACTCGCGCATCCGAAGCAACGTGTCTTGGTCACCTCGCTTTACAACACGTCCATTTTCATCGGCCTCATTCTTGGATCGTGGATCACATATGGCACCTATGCCATACCCTCAAACTGGTCCTGGAAGATCCCATGCTTGCTTCAAGTCATCCTCCCAGCATATCAGATGACCTTGATCTGGTTCTGCCCCGAATCTCCGCGATGGCTCGTCACACGTGGTCGAGTTGAGGAGGCCCGCTCGATCCTCATCCATTACCATGGTAATGGTGAGGAAAATCTTGTTGTCCAAGCCGAGATGCAAGACATTCTAGCAGGAGTGGAAGCAGATGCAACGCAAATGAAGTTCAACAAAGAAGGCATCAGTAGTATTCTTGGCTCCAAGGGCAATCGTCACCGGCTATGGATCTGTTTCTGGACCGCTGTTGGCTCCCAGGCGGCTGGTGGTTCTCTCATCGCCACGTATTTGCCTAAGATCCTGGATCAGGTTGGCATGAAAACCTCTAAAGAGCAGACGCTCATCAATGCTATTATCAGCATTTGCAACTGGTTGACTGCTTTCCTGGCTGCCTTTGTCATTCCTCGCATTAAGCGTCGCACCATGTTTTTATTCTCGACGATCAACTTCAACCTAGTATTCGTGGTTTGGACGGCATTGACGGAGCGCTACATTGCAACAGAGCGGAAGTCCTTCGGTATCGCTGTGGTTGTCATGATATTCGCATACAATTTCTTCCAGACCATGTGTTGGATCTCGTTGGTCATCGCCTATCCGCTCGAATGCGTCACTGCTAAGCAGAGAGGTGTCTTTTTCGCTTTCACAATGTTCATCATCAACGCCACCGCTTTCGTTACCAGTTACACCACGCCAATGCTTCTCGACAGCATGAGTTGGAAATACTACGTGGGACAATGCGTCTGGAATTGTGTTTACATCGCTGTCATCTATTTTACCTACGTGGAAACTTCAGGCATGACCCTGGAAGAGATTGCCGTGGTATTCGATGGCCATGAGGCTTTCGAAGACGCGCGAATGCACGCACGTGAGGAGCTGAAGATGAAGATGGAGCGCGATGAGATGGCTGAGGTCGAGGAGAAGGCTGTCAAACAAGCCTAGTGGCTCAGTGGAGTGTCAGTCCGTATATGTATTAGGATATGTTTTGGGCAACTGGATTCTGCAACATGTTCACGGTAGCGATGAGAAGCGCCGATTATCGTTGATGCACTCCGCAACGAGAGACTCTCTAGGCTAAGATCGATGCAAAATAAATCGAACATCAGTCGAGGCACACTGTGATTCATGCGAGTCGTCAATAAACCAACATCTATGATATGCCGGTTGCCCCCCAAAAAAAAACAAGTCACCGAACTTTCTCGCAAGCAATGTTTGCCAGTCCACCATACTGAAAAAAGAGTGGAAACGACAAAGTGGCCAGCGGTGCAGCGCGGAACCATTATCACCGGTCTACAACCCTGCTGTATTCAAGATGATCATGGTCACAAGTGAACATAGCCATGCAAGGGTATACATATAGAGGCGGAATGCCAGTGACTACTTTCATTCTTCCGGAAAAACAGGAATTGGGCGCACTGGCCAGTCACAGCCGTCATGGTACGTACTCTCGAAATTCCATTCTCCAGCCCCAACAACGTGAACTTTCCTCTCGGTCTGACTTGATGGAACAACCACTTCCATGCTCGTGAGCGGCGGTACAACAACTGTGACAGAAAGGCGAGCGCCGTCCAGAGTCCAAGAGCATCTCACGAGCCCATAAGGCGATTGGTGCGTGGAGCTGGCATGGGTGAAGCCTCCACCGAGCGTAGGCGCTGCGCGGCTCTTTCTCCAGCCAGGCTCAACGACCTGCAGGCCTGCAAGCGTCTGGTGCAGGAAGGAGGTCACCGCGCCAAGGCTGTAGTGGTTGAATGAAGTCATTTCGCCAGAGTTGATGGAGCCGTCGGGCAACATGCTATCCCAGCGTTCCCAGATCGTGGTCGCGCCTAGAGTAATGGGATACAGCCATGAGGGGCATTCGCGAGCTTGTAGCATCGAATAGGCAACCTGCACGTTACCGGTCTTGACCAATGCATCCAGAATGAAAGGCGTGCCAGCAAAACCCGTCGCAATCTTGAAGTTGTTGCGTCGTGCAATGGTGGCCAGCCGCTGCCCTGCAGCTTGTACTTGCTCAGATGTTGAGAAGAGGTCGAAGCAGATTGCGAGTGAAATAACAGTTTGTGAGTCTGATACAACACGTCCGGAGCGTGTGATATACTGTGTGGCGAACCGTTCGCGCGCTGTTGTTGCTTCGTCGGAGTATCTTCGCGCAGCTTCCGTGTCACCTAATATAGCACCTATCTTGGCTACCAAAGCTAGGCAGCGCACCAGGAAAGCGTCTGCAACAAGTATAGGATCCGACTGCCCATTCATTGGCTCATGCGGTGAGGCTGTTGGATCAAGCCAGTCCTGCAGGGAAGATTAGTACACGTGTGCAAAGGCAGGTTGCTGGCATCTTACGCCTAATTGGAATGTATCCGAATCCCAAAGTATACCATCTTCATTGCGAGGGATCTTCGTCAGCCAAGTCACCATGTTACCGTAATGCATCCGAAGGATTTCTTCGTCACCAGAATCTTCATATAGCGCCCATGGAACAAGGATGATGACATCGTGCCAGATGGCAATTGGTAGTACCTTGCCCCAGAAGCCTACGTTATTCAGCACGTCAGGCGTTACCAGGGCAGGGATGCCACCACGTTCTTCCTGATCATACTTGACATCCACCATCCAATCTTTTAACATGCCAAAGCAGTCATACAGCTTGGTAGCTGTAGGCGCGAATAAAGCGATGTCCCCAGTCCAACCAAGTCTCTCGTCTCTTTGCGGGCAATCAGTTGGAATAGAGAAGAAATTGCCTTTTATGCTCCAAACAGTGTTCTTGTAAAGCTGATTGACCAGAGGATCAGAAGAGTCGAACGAGCCTGCAGCTTGCATGTCTGTATGGCAAACAACCGCTTCTACGTGGGCCTTGAGGTTTTCCTCACTGTGTAGCCAACCGTCGACCTGACAGTACCTAAAGCCATGGAATGTGAACCGAGGAGCCCATGTCTCACCATCTGGCCTGCCGCTACAGGTATATTCGTCGAGCGCTTCACAAATACGCAGTGGCCGCCGACCGAGCTCGCCATGTTCAAGGACCTCTGCATGCCAGAGGGACACCTTTACGCCTTCAACGCCCTGGAACAGCTTGAGGCGGACATGACCAACAAGGTTCTGTCCGAAGTCGATAATGATCCTGTTAGATGGAGTTCTGATCAATGCTACCGGTTCCACAATTTCGATCCTGCGTACGGGCTCTCCCCACCCAGCGACGATGTGGATTTCGGCAGGCAAACTTTCTAAAGTCTCTACTGGCTGCCAATCTTCAGGTAAAGGTTGCTTAGATGGTCGCGACCAGTCGTGCTTCTCTAGCCTAGCGTCGTATTTTTCCCCGTTGTAGAGTTCGGCCAGCCTCGTCGGACCGAGACAAGAGAGCCAGGAAGAATCAGTAGCGAAGACGTCGTTCACACCATCTGCATAGTAGATCTCTAACTGCGCCATAAGTGTAGGAAAATCGCCCCATCTGTTGCGCTGGCCACCGAAAAACCCTAGACGACCACAAAACCATCCCTCGGCGAGGCGGAAGGCAATGCAATGATGACTATTGGATGCAGAAAGCTGGTCAGTGACGTTGTAGGTCTGGTAGCGAATATGTCTGTCGTATTTGGTCCAACCTGGCGCGAGGAAATCTTCGCTGACACGTTGACCGTTTAGCTCAGCTTCGTAGACTCCTTGCACGACTACGTAGAGCCTGGCGTCGATGATCTGCACCTGTTGGCGCGTCGTAAAATCTTTGCGCAGCAATTGCTCTGGCTGCGGGGAGTTTTCAGTTCGATTATAGGCTGCAGCAACGATCCGTTCGCATGTCCAGTCCTTGCGATACAGGAGCCCAACTTCGTACGCGGATGGAGTACTCCAAGGAGACCAAAAACTATCAATCTCGGCCCTCACTCTTACGGCGATTCTTTGTCGAGACTGGAGGTCCTCTTCGAAAGGCCATGCATTGAGCACAGCTGAGCTGGATTGAACTATCGCGCGGGCCTTGAATTGACCCCATGGCTCCGCACCGGGGTAGACATTCGATAGCTTGAGACCGCTGTGGGTGAGGTCGTAGCATTCGATCTCGAACCTGTTTTGTAGGCCATTTCCCGGTAGACTGCCTATGAACTGCCAAGATATCCTTGGTCGCGTCTCCGCACGTCCTGTTGCGTATTGAGGCTGATAGTGCTCGAAGCGGACGTTGTGCAATACGAAAGTGTCTTGCATTGCCATGGCGGAGTCGGGTCAGGTTTTGTCGGTGCTGCTTCATATCGACTGCGAGACGGAGCCCATGGGTCTTATATCATGACTAGCGCTTGAGCATAAGCTGGCACGCTACCGCACCTATTGCTGCAGCGCTTGACTACGATTGCTGAGTACGAGGATGCTCGTATTCGGCTCATGACGGGGACGTGGTGTACAATGTGCCGTTGCAGCCGGTGAGGTAACCTCGTGGCACCGGTCGGATGAATACGACTCGAGGTGTCTTGGCGGATCTGCCTGTTTTGGTAGTGGGTCGCAGCGGGTTACCGGTATCCGGAAGAGAAACAGCCGAAGCGCATCGGCGCTGGCAAAGCACGTCCCGAGAACGATGAAAGTTATAAGTCTGAACTTGAATGAAGACTGCAATGCGCCAGGATCGCTTCAATACTCAGTCACGCCAAGTCAACCAACGCTTCTTGCGCTCCATGCTACAAGCGAAAAGTTGCAAACATCCACTCTCAAAACTGAAACCCGCAGGTCCCAGCAACGAGCGGTTTGCCAAGGCTACCACCAATTCACACGTTGACAGCCTATTGCAAATGCTGACCCTTGATGGAAAGATCAGTCTTCTATCGGGTCAAGGCCGTTGTAGAACGACTGGGGTCGAACGGCTGGATATCGCTGTGCTCAACATAAGCTACAGGCTGCAAAAGCAAGCATGAGGTATCATTTTTCATGCTGACCGCTCATGATAGACGTCAGATGGGCCCAATGGTTTGCGTGGCTACTCATTTTTCAGATCCGGTGAGTGACTGGTTGTCTTCTGCCTTGACCTAACCTCTATGACACCAATATTCAGGCCCAAACATCGTCCAGGAGCGGTATAGCGCCATGCTGGGGTAGGGCCAAACATCAAGAACCGCAACCCCCAATCATCATCCTAACCCTAGCCGCCTGCAACAACGCATGGCAAGCCCAGCACCCATTGCAAAGCTGCCCAGCTCAACCAGCTCTGCACTGCAATGCCCCAGCCTCAAAACAAGCAAAAAGAGAGAGAAGAGAGACAGAGAGCGGGGAGGTTTGCGGGCATGGAGTTTACGTTGGACATATGGAGCACGTGTATCAATAAGTGTAATGGATGAGCGCCCTGCCCCCAATATCAATACTACATGACATCTCCAAGTTATACCAAAAGTGTGACACCTACAACCGTATCCGCCCCGATACCGATGTGGTTCCTGCAGGTCTCAGCACACCGCTCCTTGTCTGTCGTGAACTAACTCCTTGTCACCTGGACAAGGGTACTTCCGATTCCCTCCGAAGGGGATACTTAATGACTCCGATACTGTAGTTTAGATAGAGTAGTTTTTCTGTATCCTTTCGTACAAGACCTATAGGTGTAGGGATTTCAATCCTAGTGTTCTCAACGTCCCAGCACTCCCATATGCCTTGTAGTGGACTCACACTTACTTTGGACATCTTCCCTACTGGCCTGCGTCGTTAAACCGACGGTGCTGGGTCAGTCAAAAGTACTGCGCGACGAGGGAGAGCGTGGAGAATCGATGTCAGTGGCCGAACGTGGTGGTACCGTTGGCAAGGACAGCAGCGCAGATAGAACAGGGGGTTCAGATTGTTCGAGAGCGGTGCGGGTACAGCGGAGAACTTGGTGGAGACTGGAAAGAGTATGCAGCGTGGCTGGGGAAACGACACAATAAGCGGCTATGGGGAGAGTTTTTCAGCAACGCGATGGTGGTTGCCATCAGGGTAGTGTTGTTCATGCAGCAGTACAACAGCTTGCAGGTCGCTGAGATTCAAGTGCCAAAAACTGGGTTTGGGTTAGGATTTTTTTTTTAGATTTTTAGCTGCAACAGGATAAAGCAGAGTATTCCATGCACAACACTATCCTCAGCTAAGCTCTGCGTGCTGTGGTTGTTGTGCTGTTGCTCCTCAAAGTTAGAGTACCGGTAGTAACAGCCTGATCTGGTAAGGTCTTGCATTCAGGTGCACTAACCCAAATAGTAATTCTGGTGACCCTGAATGAATACAACCCTT